GTTTTGTTAACCTCGCTATGATATCATACATTGTGGCAGAAGTAGTAATGAAACTTGTTTTTGAGAACTACCATGAGGCTTTTACCTGATGAGCCCATAATTATTATGACTTGCAACAATATGAAATTGAGATTTCACTTGAATGCAAATTTTATTTCCTACTCCATGTAGGATGTGACATGACAGAGGGAATAGCATTGGTCAAGAAAAAGATTTATCGTGACATAGTAGTTATCAAGGCAGAAACTTTGTATGATCCAGACAGTTTTAGAGAATTTTACATATCAGCAGGTGCAACAAAGTTATTCAACACTATTCTGGATTCAGTCACTGGTTCTCGGCATTCAACAGACCGCATACATCTAAACAAAAAAAGGGTCATTTCATTCATTTACAAATCACAAATGGCTAATAATGCTAATCATTGATTATTTCACAGCCATTCACACAAAAAGAAGGCCACAAGAGAAAAAATTGTCAGAGGCAAAGACAATGTGTACCATAGTTGTTAAAGCTTTCAAAGACATTCCAGCTGTACCTGTAATGCAGACCCTTTGTACACATGACCAGAATGGTATAGATATTGTATTGTGCATACAACTAATTACTGCTGCATCATCCATGCACAACATCAGTGAGAGTTATGCTTCTGTGATGCCCAACTGGCTCACAAAGGCATTTTTTAATCCTGAATTTGAGAGACATAGAATCAACATTCATCAATACTGTGACAGTGACAATGTGCAAACAATGCACAAAATAGATGATTTGCACCTATTAGATTTTGTAGAACTGTGACTAAAGTCAAAAGGGAACTTTGATACTGCATATGATGTGGCAATGCACACTGGCTTGGCTGCCTATTTAAAGAAATTTACTGTTTTTCAGCCAGGGGATTGGCCATGCCAATTTTATTGTGGACAAATCATTTACAAATCACTTAACAACTTTGTCAACTCTCATCCAGGATTTTCAGAGGCTCTCTCTGCAACAGGACAATATTTTCACTGATCATTCCTCATATTCTTTTCCAATGACATCTGGTACTACTGACAATCTCTTGAACAACAGCTTGCCACAAACAACATCACAGCCATCCATTCTGTCATTAGTACCAACTATTGGGCCACTTCACATTTTCTTAAACAGCAGAGAACATGTTGTTCATTCCTATCATCCATTTTTCAAAACAGTATAAGAAACAATTTACCCAAGAAGCAATTGGCAGATAACCCCAATCAGATTAGTCTGATTCTTGAGGTTGTGTGTGGTGGTTGGACACTTGTACGCAGCACTATGATGGCAAAGTTCTCCCGGTTCAAAGATGCAGAGCATGAGACCCTATTTGCTTTACTAGACAGGTATATACCTTTGGTGTTGTTGATAAACAGCATTTCTTTCAAACTTAACAATTTCTCTGAGTATTTTAGAGCATAGATCAGGATTTGAATCATGTTCACTTGCCTCCAATACCAGCACTATAACAAAGCACCACTTGTTTGGATCAACATGTGCTCTCAACGGGGAAAAACATGCTCCACAAGTGTGTAATCTACTAAGGAATTACATTGCCATTTTTAATGAATATCCTGTGGAAAACACTCGTAGCATACACCATTCACAGAAAAAAAGGTTCTGATTCTGCTGATGAACTTAGTAAGAAAGCAAAGTCCATTTTCCAGTCAAAGGGTAAACAATCACACTACAGGTCATTTTTCACCACACCTAAGCAGTTTTCTTTCTCACACAACCAACTTTGGTTACTAAAAGTGAGGTGTGCTCAAGCACAATCCTCCATGTTTATAAAAATCTCTCAGAGTCCAGGACAGAGTCTATTCTCCTCAAATAACAACTGCAACTCAAGTGTTCCAACTCATGTCACACTGCCAACAATGTCCCCCAACAAAAATAAGAAGATGACTGTTTTACCTTTAAGGTATCACTGTTATATCAAGCTGGATCAAACAAAAAATGTGATTTACCTCTCTGTAACATTTACAGCCATGATGAGAATCAAACCCTCTGCATGGTTGTTTTCACTCATTCCATGATACTTGCCTCAATGGATCGACTTCATGTCCACTGTGTAAGGAGTTTCTACAAAAAAAGTAAAAGAGGCTTAACAATGCACAGGTCAAATGTTATTTCTGTGAAAATGGTACATGCACAGTCAGTGATGACATTAGTTGCTCAAATTGCCCTTGTTCATGGCACACAGCAAACCAGCATGAGAGTAATCAGAGTACTTGCAACAACCAGTCAGCTTCATTACCAACACCAGATTCTCAGACCACTCTTTGCATAAATGTCATTATTGCACAAATATCTTGACCTAACTAAGAGGCTAATGCCCTTATACATTTGCCAGTGCTCCATTGCTGGAAGACCTAGTGGTAGTAATGCCTGCACTCTAATTGCAGTACATGCTGCACTTGATTTTCTAGAAGGAACCCTTCAAATTCCCACGCAGTTACAAGACCTCAACATTACTATACCTATGTATACTAATGTCATGATAAAAGGAAATCAGTCATATGACTCTTTCAACCTGCCAGTTCAGCAACCAAATTTGGAAGTCAGACAAGTCCTTTAGCATGGAAAAAATGATAAACATTTGAAAAAACTTGAAATCACTTCAGACCTGGGTTTCTTTACTGTGAGAGACCTTGAAGACCACTTCATGCAACACCATCATATGCATCCATCATTTGCAGCTGTATTGATTGTGCCACCAGACAAGTCAATGGTACTTTATTTTAATCAAACAAGTATTTGTCTTTTTTAAAGTCACACACATGGTCTCCAGGGGGGCATTATTGTGACCAGTTCCTCTGGAAATATCAGCCACTTTGTCAAATATCTAGAAAGAATGGTTATGTGAGACTGGAAGAATGGATTACTAGGTTCAAACATAGCAGTTTTAAAGCTGAAATAAATTTTGAAAAAGGTTCAATTAGACATTAGAAACAGAACAAGCAGGATTACTATAATTGAGTACTTAGCCATTTGTTGTAACACAGCAAGTTCGATTAAGTTAGTTTGTAAGCTTCGTCTTAAACTTTGACTTAAAATTAATTTTGCAAGGCAGAAGCATTCTTCAGAAATAAGCATGACAGAATAACGCCGACGTCATTCGTCGTGCATTTGAACATGAAGAAAGCGTCACCTGTTTAAGCTCGTGAGGAAGAGTCCACGCATTTTTTGGGGGGTAATTGGACTAGTTTGACCGAAAGCCAAATAAATAAACAATTCACTGACAGTGGTGAGGGCTTTGGGGGCGAGTGAGATAAATAAGTTCTATCGAAGTTTTTCCTCCATTTAGCACCTGAAGCCCAAAAGGGCAATTGAAAAAATTCCCTCTAAAACTCAGGAAAAAATAAGCTTAAGCCGGAGTTGATGAAAACCAAACTATAACCGGTGCTAAGACACATGCCTACCTACCATGTTCAACAGACTTGGAGAGCAAAAGGGCCAAAGACAGTTGTGAGCCATGACTTTGAAAATCCACCTCAACCTCCCAAAAACGAATTCGCCGAAGGCTGTAGTAAGAGCAACTCAATCCTGAAGCTGGAACATTTTTTAAAGCCTTGTGTTCAGTGTGACTACAAAGAGAAAGAAAAGATGATGTTATCTGAAGTAATTTGAAGCTTGGGGGCCACCTCGAACTTAACGCAATTTTATTTCAAAGTTGAAGAAATAAGATCACGTTCTAAATTAACTTCTTTCATCGGATCAAATATCTCACGAGCATCTTCACATACAAGTTTGTGATTTTTACAAATAAAACATCAACATCTTAAGACTAACCTTAAAGGTTTGCTATCTCATTTGCACATCTTGATCTTCAGTAAATCAAATCTCAAACTTTACGTTTTCTGGCCTTTCCCGTGTTTTGTTCGCACTTTGATCAATAAAATATCCTCATCAGGGGGGCCAGCAAACACCACGAGTACCCACAGAGTTAGATATATTGGTATACTTGTCATTTTCTTTCATCCCTCTCCAAAAAGTATTATAAAAAAGTGTCGATCACCCAGTTGAAAACCCGTAGGAGCGCGCTGAAAGTCTCACAATGGCGCCGAACGCGTCGAACAAAATTTACTGGCGCATGCGCAGCAAAATACCCTTCTGCTCCCCTCTGCTATAAATCAGAGCCAGACCTCTACAGACTTCTCGTCGGCTCGCTACGTCCATTCTGCCAAAGGTCTCATTCCTTCCCTTGGGTTAATAAACGTTCATGCCGTAGCGTTGATACTTAGGTTCTCCTCACAGTCTGTACTAAATTTGATAAATTGCGTCTATGTGACACAAAACCGCTCTTATGCACGTTTTTTTTCCGTTTCGTGTAATGAGCTCGAGTGTCGGTGGATAATTCTTCATCACACGGGCAATATCCCGCCAGCCAAGGTGCGACTAGGCATAGTCTGATCGAAAAATAGAATAGAATCGATGGTAAACAAGACGAAGAGTCACGTTCGCAAATAGTGACACCATCGCTGCTGCGTTACAGAACCTGATTAATACTGCATCAATAAATTTTGACCAACGAAAAAGCTAGACGATTCAATAGCAATCAAAGAGTAAGAAATTTTAAGTTGTCTTTTTCTACCCATTCAAAACTGCACTTGATCCGGAGTCACCCGCAGCGAAGTGTAAGTTACATAATACATGTAATGTAACGCACGCGGAGGGGAGGAGGTCATCATTGTTTATTAAAGTACAAAAGAAGGTTAGGAAAAAAAAAGAAGTAAGAATTAGGTAAAAAGCCTTAACTGCATTTGTTCCAAATGATGGCGCTTTTGTAGTCTAAGGCATGCGGTGTAGCCTTTCCTTTTTATTTTCTTTATCATGCAATCTAATCAGCTGTAGCAATTTGTACCTTGTCTGACCCTGACTGGATTTACCCATCATAATGGTGACAGTTTCCACGAGCAACTGTCACTCATCCTGTTAGCAACAAAACACGTGTTGCCTTTTTCCCACTAAAACCACGAAAACGTCAGGCGCAAGATCACATCCTGCGCCGATTTGCAAGACGCCAAAACAGTCTGTCTTCGAATTTCCAAGGCTGCTTGGGAGCATTTCCTTTCGAGGATCATTTCTGAAGATTGAAGCAAAAAAGGAGTTCTGGTTATAAACAAGGTCGTGGTACAAAGGTTTGTGTTTCAGTTCTATTTTCAATTGCTTCTGTATTTTGTCTAGGAGGGTAAAATATTTGTCGGCACACGGTGTAGTAAGTCGAATTGTTGCCTAACAAACTGAGTAGCACGAGTGCCAATCTTTGGGTCGATTTTCGTTTGTTTCGAAAAACTAACACTGCTTAATGTAACTTTTCTGGTGAGTTAAACAATTTGATTCATTTGAACTTGACAGCTCTATTTTATAAAAAAATGTGGAGAATGAGCTTAGTCTGTAAATATCCGAGGGCGGGATCATTTGCTTTTTAAATCTCTTCAGTATGTTTCATAACAAAGTACACTCGTAACGCCAAGCTGCAACATCTCGTGTTTCACCGCGGGGCTTCATGAACACTCTTGATCTTTGGCCAGTGTATCCTCCTCTTTCGTTCGATGAAGAAATATTCCTGCGTCATGAACAGTTATGTAAAATTTTCGAAAATGATTACAGTAGGAACAAAAAAATATGAAATTTCCTTATCGCAATACCTTTTTCTTTATCATGATGTTCCAAAACATTTGTATCTGAAGAAGGTCAGTGAAGGTCGTTCGGTGGGGTCGCTTGATTCACGTGTACAGAGTATGCCTCTGTATTATAATGTTATGACGCAACAGAAAGATTAAAGGATTTTCGGTAATTGGAAAAAAAAAGTAGTATTTAAACACTGAAACATGACTAGGATCTAACCCTCCCAAAAAAAGAAATAGCTGGTTTCACTAAAGTCTTTGGTTTCTTTGTCTCCAGTGTGGTTTCCAAGTCGAATCAAAGTGGTTAAGGCATACATGTTCAAATTAGAGCATTGATCCAGGCAGTTTTTAGTTCCTCTATTTCTTAGCGAAAAATCAGAGGAAGTAAAAATTGATGAGTCATACTAACAAGCAAAGCGAGGTCAAAGGAACAACAGCTTAAATCAAGGTAGACCAGTTTTGAATACAAAGCTGACGTTTCGAGCGTTAGTTAGCCCTTCGTCTTTCGCTCTAACGAAGGGCTAACGGACAAAACTTTAAGCTTTAATTTGAAACTCTTTACGGTGGCTAATTTTCGTTATCAACACAGTTTATAATACTAAATTTGTCGCTTTCCCACCGACACAGCACCACAATTTCTTTAGAAACTTACCTCCTTTATCAAGTTTTGAATACGTTTGGTTACAAAAGCGCTTTTGACTGACTCATGGAAACTATAATGAGAGTCCCCAAGAGGTTTTTGTGGGGAAAACGAACTGTATTATTTTAGAAAATCATAAAACATGGTAAATTGTTTTTGATTTTGCAGAAAAAAAGCAGCAGACAAAAAAAGACAAAGTCCGCGCTAACAGACGGCGAGGAGGATAAAAGCACTTGAAATATTTAAGATCCTTTGATAGCTGCCTGACCAAGTTTGGTGCACACGTCGTTAGACACTATGGCTATCATGATGACGGATACTATGTGCTACATGGCAGACGTTGGAGCAGGTCTTGGACGCCACGTGGTAGACGTCAACGCAAACATTATGTGTACTTTGATCAGAGAAATAGCAAACATTGTGTGCACTATGGTTAAAGAGGTAGCGGTAGGAGCCATCGTGTGCACTTTGATAAAGGAAATAGGAAGTAGCACGCGCTGTTTGATGGAAAAAATTGCAGAGCTGTTTAAGAGTCGCCCTGAGGTTGTAAAAGAATGCATGAAATTGCCTATGTCACCGATGATCTATTAAGGCAAGCTTTGAAAATGCGTGGAGTTGATTTTCACACAATAATCATTGCACGCTTTTGAGAAAACAATATCGCTTCGTATCAATCATTTATTCTCAAGCTTTCTTTTTAGTCAGATTTAGCCATACCATGACTGATAAGTAGTAGCTTGGACTTTTGCTCTGGGATTGTAATGTCTAAAAGTCACCATTTGTCTGCTGAAGACTGGGATAAATGTAATTCACTGCTTTTTCTTATCTAAGAAATGGGAGTACACTTTAAAATCCAGAAATCATGCATATGACCGAAGTTAAATATGTGTCTTGTCACTAGCCTCAGCAGACTGAGTTAGCGGCGTAGGAGCATTTACAGACCAATGTATTATGACGTCTATTTGCTGATTTAAATAATTTGGGAAATACTTTTTGTGTCTCTTTAGAGGAATGTTAACTTTTATTTACGAAACTCATCACATTTCAAAGCCCCTAACTTTTTAAGACCTGAACTAATGATATTGTATTTTTCTATTAGTCTTGTTCAAGGGCTAGCCTCTTGCAAGGATGCAGACTGCCTATATCTTCGTTTTGATGTAGTTATAAAAGCCTGATAAATGGTATTGAAAATCAATCTGTAGGTGAAAATATAGACATCGTATGTTATTTATGTTTAACTTGCCGGGGTCATCAAAAATGAATATATACCAGCCCGCCCCTCCCCCTCCTAAAAAAAACACAAATAAACAAGCATGTCAGAAAGCAGGGGTATGTCAGCTAGAAGGCGGTAAGTCTTCTTGTGAAGGTTGTCTTCATCACATTTCTATCTTGTTCTCCAAAATTCCTTTGGCAAAACTCTGGAGATGTCATTAATCACAAACAATTGACTGATACATATGCGTCTCATCCATCCTGAGGTCAGACCAAAATTTTACTTAACGAAATTCAATTTCCCCTTAAAAGCATCAATATAATTATACCGCACAATCATATCACCCGGATTCACGCACTTTTTTTCGTGTTTAGACGTCTGCTATCATCTGATTATCGCGTTGCTTTGAATCACGCGGAAGCTTTTTTTTAAAACTCTAAGGGTCACGATCATTCACACATTTACTCGTCATAGGTAACAAGTATCGTTCTTTCTAGTTCTAGCCCCTAGTTCCTGAATTCCTTTAAAGTGTCTATGACACAATTTTTTTGTTTTTTGTTTTTTTTGGCGTAAATATTTGGCTTATCATATGTACAAACCAATTCCGATATAAGAAAATTTTCAAAAAACATAAAACTTTTTTTATTCGGACCCTAAAGTGCCCTTATTTTGCCTTAAAAGTGTCCCGTGGACTTGTAACGAATTAGTGGATGATGACGTAGAAAATTGTGAAAACTCTTAGTTGACACTTACAAATCTATCACATCTCTTGTAATTTTGCATCAGTCAGCGTTGAAATACTTTTGAAATGATGTCCGATAACGATGTATACCTGCTAGTAACAAGCTCCACCGAGAGTTTCGATACATCGTACTCAAGAGGTAAAGAAGAAATGGAAGTCGCGAGTACGGTTCAGCCCGACAGAACCGCGTGCATCAAACGAAGATTTCGACAAAGACTGACTAAAACGGTTTCTTGCGTCTTGTCGAAATCTATGTTAGGAATGAGTAGCTGAGGTCGTTTTTGTTGAAATCACATTTTATCCCTACGCACTAAGTGCAGTGAAGGTTCCCTTTAGTCTGTGCTCTAGAGTTTCGTTGCTGTAGAATGATTCCTTTAGCATGCCGTCAGCTAAATTTTGACGAAAGAATCGGCTTTATCACGAAGCACGATGATTTTGTGCCGAGCAGTCGTCGGGCAGTTTCACTACAAGTTGCTCCTTTCTCAAAGATTGCAAAGGCTGAGGAACCGTCGTCGTTGAGCCGGTCAAATGGAAAACGAGTAAGTTTATCTGATTCAAGTTAAACTCAAATAGAGATTTTAATAAGGAAAATTTCTTTAGCTTAAGTACAGCATTGTCATATGACCCATTTCGCTCAATGGCAAATAACTGACATCAGTATAATGATTGTAAATTAATATTTTGTATGCATCGACTTTCACACAGCACTTGGATTCGCTACCATCTAATTCAATAAATTTTTTTGCTTCTTTTAATTACCTCGTTGTAGTACTGTTATCACATTGACATTGCTATTGTTGCTACTTTTAAGATTCTTGAGGGCAGGGGGGAATTGATGGCTCGTGGGATGTATTTTCGGAAAGTTAGGTTAGAAGAATATACGGGCCCTTCGAGCTTGTGTTTATCCCAGTATTCGCCAGAGGTTTCGCACTCACACAACAAGATTTCGGTCAGTTTAGGAAGGGCTTGAACTTTTTCACAAATTATGCATTTTTGGTAACAAAAAACGATGGAAACTACAATTAGTAGGATTATCATACGATAAGAAAAGCGCAAATGTAGTCATGTGGAAAGCCAAGGAGTATAAGTACATCCGTCAGGTGCGTGAAATAAACCTGAACAATAAGGAGCTCCGACCATTCTTCGCTCGCGACATGTCAGCCGAAAATAATGTTGAACAATCGTTTACGGTGTGGGAACAGGCTTCTTAATCAGCATTGTTTTAAGCTGAATTCTTTTGTAATCTTCCCCTAATTTGTCTAGTGGCATGTGTTTGTAACAGCCGGAACGGAGCATAAGGCCGACGATCGAAACGCGTCAATTTGGCCATACAGCTACATCCTTTCAAAGTAGTAAACAACGATGTAACATGATCGTTTTTGCCGCGCGCTTAATGGGTACTCTTTTTGGCCGCCAAATCGTACTTTCAGTGCACAAAAAAAATAGTTAAGGTGAACTCGCTAGGCGCTTAATACAGTCTAAGTACAGCTATCAAACAAAAATGTAAAAGAAAAAAATTAGTGTCATAGGAACTTTAACTAATTGATTGAAAAGAAAATGACCAAATAAATGCACCTGCTGATGGTCAATGTTAAAACATGAAAATAAGAAGAGCTTGTGACAATAATAATGAGTCAAAGTGACAACGTAAATGCTCCCACGATGACTTATCGGGCGTTGAAGAATCATTTCTTACTAGAAAAATTTTTTTAATGGTTTGTAACAACTGCTACAGCCAGAATCACTAGAAAAAAAAAGATGATCACCAACTATCTTTGTTTGCACCAGAGGGGTCACGATATTGAATTATCGCTTTGGGTTCTTGCAGCACAGCAGGGAATTTTCACCTGTCAAATAAATGCTTTGTTTCTTCTCTAACCAGGTTTTTTAAGGTTATTTATGTTAATTTTTTCGTTTGTTTGTTAGAAATCTGAACTACTGGAATTATTTCTCGTGCTCTGATTATTTTCCAAAAGGAAGTTGCTTGCATTGTGTTGAGAGCTCACACCACTCTCGATTCATCATCTCCGACGTGAGTTCGTTTTTTGTGATGCTTTATCTCCTTTTTAATGCTGGATTTTAAACTGGTGATTTAAAAATATGCTTTAAGATTGGTTTTAGAAGATATTCGGAAGTATCAAATAGTACTATGTGCTGAACATACGACCTTAACCTACGAGCAGATCTTGCGTGGTCCAAATCAAAAGTATGGGGCTCCTTTCCCTTATCACAAACATTATCAACATTTGAAAGATTTTCTTCACAAAACGGTCGTGAAGTAAAAAGCGTGTTAAGAAAAGAATTACTCAAGGTTAATTCTGTTTTTAAGATAACTTATTGAGATAACTATCTACTATCTCCAATTGATCAAGTAAAGTTGAAGGTAAAGAAATTCCTTCGTTAACTTAATTCGTCTATGTCGTATCGCTAAACTCTTACCGAAAGACTCACAAGGAAAACAGTAGAACACGCGAATTATTAGATAAAGTTTGTGTATTACTTAAATTTTGGCAGTAGATTTTAAAGTTTTGAACAAAACATTTGATTTCAGAAGGTACCTGTGATGTCCAGCGAGCTGCTGCTTTATCTTGATTTGATCCTCATAATAAGTATGGCAATGTTTTGCCAAACTTTGAAGCAATGCCATCCGTCTATATACTCAGTGTACGGCCATTACCTCTCTCGTCATGAAGTATTGACAACCGTTTCTTCCAGTTTCTCCGAGTGTGTTACGATTTGCTCTATTTACATCCGCTGTAGAAGTTTGAACTTTCGCCTGGGGGACAAGTCATGTGAGTTAAATGACTCAGACCAATATACTCATCCTGAGGATTATGGACCGAGGGCAGGATCTGTGTACATGGACACTCCTAATGGACACAGAAATGTTCAAGTAGGAATTGTGACATTTTATCAAATCTGACAGGGGTCCAATTAGTATGTGGCTCGCCAGGAGTTATCAAACGGCCATAAAGAGATTAACAGAAAAAAAAACTTTTATTCTGAGTTTTTAAAGAGCGACCAGGGTGACAAGTTGCGTCAGTATAACCTTTTACGAGCTCTGCAAAATCATTTGAAACAATATTAGAGGACGGTCATATGACAGTGTATGGCAACTTGAGAAAGAAGACATAAGTAGATTCCAGTGGCTTTCAACTAAATTTTTAAACCAGTCGCGCTGAACATAACCGTAGGTTTCTCGCAGTTGGCATCATTTGAATATAAACAGTCGTAACTGGTTCTTAGAAACAACAATGTGCTTAATTATCCGTTAAGTTTTTTTTCGTCAGAGAAACGAGTGCGTTTTAAAAAATTGCGATGATAGCTCAGCGATATCATAGAACAGCTAGAATATTTGATTGTCTAACATTGTAATTATTTAGTGATGTGGTCATTACTTTTCGTGGAGGTAGTCATGATATCACGGCGGCCGGTGGAGCCTATAAATTAAACGTGATACAAATAGGCATATTATTATAGTTTGTTTTTCTTTTTTTAACTCTTTCCTTCCAATAGAAAATTGGCTTCAAGTCCTGCGGAGAAATACACCAGGAATGGCCTCAGGTTAACAGTGGATATTTTTGGATAAAAATCGGAGACAGAGACGCACAAGTGTATTGCGATATGGAAAATTATGGTAGGTAAAGGAAGCGTGTAATTAATATAAGAAAGTGGCTAAAAAATTCCAAGAGATTCACTTTCCGAAATAGGAGAAAATATTCGATCACAAGCAATCGAGTCGGTACATCTTTTAATGCTAAAAATGTTTGATCTTCAGGTGGAGGCTGGACCTTAGTTGTGAGTATCAGTTCTAAGAATAACGATCATCTTCAGAGAACTGCTAACAACTGTCTCAACTCCATATTGTGTGTGCCTTTTTCGGACAAGAATATCACAAGCCGGAAACTGGGCGACGAGGACTTACATAAAATGACAAATACAGAAGGTAAAGGTAGTGACTCACTTCATTCCAAAGTTTTGAAGATTCCCATGATATTAAATTTCCTTAAATGCTATTTTCCTTTAGAAATGCTAGAAGGGGATGTTAGAGAAGAAGGAAAATAATTAGACCTTATTTTTCCTTGTCGAAAACTAATGCAAAACTGTATGGAAACCAAAAAATGATATGAGTGACTATGAAGAAAAAAAATCAGACCAAAAAAATAAAGGATTAAAAACCGAAGCTTATACAAATTTACGAGCACAATTTCGTAATTTCTCTCATTTTACTGTTCTTTTAATAGTGTAAAACAGCTACAGATTGTGGTCAGCTTGTGGTTTATGTACAGAAATATAGAGCCACACTACTGATTGTTACATGGTACATTTAACATGAAAAACACGAAAATAGAGATTCTATAAACCACACCGACAACCCACAATTCCTCTATTAGCTCTGACCACGTCTCCTTCAGAAACTCTTTACAGTGGCTAATTTGCTTTATTAACAAATTTCATAACACCAGATTATCTTGTTATACCCCCAACAGCGCAGCGCCACAGGCATTAGCCCCTACCCCTCTCAAAACAGTTACATTTCACTTTGTTACCGAGTTAGAATAAGTCTGCAAGTGGCGCCAAAGCGGGATAAGCACACCAGTTGCAATTGCACATGCAGCCCTTGTTCCATTCTTTTCAGTTCTAAAACTTTACATTTTTACATTAACGGACACGCGCAAAATGAAGTATACCTTCAATTAGGACCACATTTAATTTGAGATATTTTTCCAGGAACGTTTAGAGTGGACATATTGAGGAATAATGGAATTTTTACGACTTATTTCCAGGTACGAATATAATATGGAATGTTTTGAACACGATAAAATTGTTCTCTCTTGTCACTCTCTCGATACATATTGCTTTTTTTTCATTCAGTCATTGTTGTAACTGTCTCTTTGTACTATTTTTGACCAAGATACCCAGTGGACCGGAAAAATTCAACTCAACCTGCAGCTGGGGAAAGTAGGTTCAAGTACTCCTTACCCTTTTTCTCCGATTTATACAATATTTAAATTTTAGTTTGTAAATAGCATAAAGTTTGATTACTTTTGTGTAGCTCGCTTGCTTTCCGCCCTCTTAGCCTCTTTGATTTTCAGTCCCTTCGTGTTTACTCTTATGACCTATGGGAATTCTAATCAACATTTAACTATTATCAATCATTCTTTTGTAGTTGTCCGCGAATTATTGTTTCTCATTCTTACCCATATACTTGGGAGACGAACCACTGCACAAGTATTGACGTGGGATATCACATTGCACACGGATGTCATAGCGGTAAGTAAAATCGCAAAGGGTAAGTTTGTTTTTGCACATGCATATGTAATAATAATCGTGATAATAACAACTAAAACAATGATAATAATAGTAATTATGGTGATGGTGATAAGCATAACTATCCCCTGATCCAAAAATAAACAAAAAAAAAACAAAAAAATGTAATTGAAAAAGAATTAAACAACAACAACAAAGCCATTGCAAAAGGTGGAGAGGTTGATTCAATTCGATGGCAAGTTTGGACTCTGAGGTATTAGGAAAAGACTACTTGCTTATATGGATTATGCTGTTTACTTTCCCATATGATCGTTTCTTTTTCATTCCCTTTAACAAGAAAATCATTATTTTTACGGTGCTAAGCTTATACAACTGCTGTTTTTTTTTATTTTCTTCGAATGGCACGATTATTCTGCTGTAAACTTTCCAAAACAAAGATGTGGGCTGTCCTCGGTCTCAGGTTGTTTAATTTTGCTGCCATTTTGCCAGTGATTCCGTCATCCTGTGTTCCAAGCCGTCCCTGAAATAGTACCAATAGCGAAATCAAACATGATTAAAGATGATCAAAAGAAAGGTTGAGGCTTGAAACGCCGACCCAATTTCTCTGCAAAGCGCGAGGCGACAAGAGGGTCCCCTTTACCCCTTTTCGGGAATGGTATGTTATTCAATCGCTTTTCATATGGAGAAATTTCTGGCTTGACATAGGTGTTGAAAATTATGTCTTTCCTTTTTCACTTTTTTGACTTATTCTAGTGTTCGATGTACACGACGATGGGGAGTGTGGCTATCAATGGTTGTCGTCTAGACTCCAGGAATACGGTGCGTGAGTAGATAATATGATGACAAAGTGTTCGACTGAGGGGAAGAATATCTGCTCAGCTAAGGCGTGATTTTCGATTTGTAGGAGGTGTGGTAGACTTCTGGGAATCTATGCATGGTGTTTATAAAATAATCAGACAAGCCTCCGTCATGCGTATCCGCTCCGCTCTTGCTATATTTTGAATAATGTGAAAGCACTGGAGCTTTGATATAACAAGTTAAAGTTAATCAATATCATTGACTTTACTATTCATGGTAGTCGATATATAAAGTTATATACATTGTAATCAATAATGGTAATAGGACCTAGTGAAGTCCGATTCGGTCTGTAATCATACGAGTGATTACAGACATCAAATTCCCGATTTGTTAATCACTTTGGATGAGTGGTTGTTGCTATGGTTATTTTGATCATTTCTGTGATTATTGGAGTAGCTGAGTGGACCTAGTATGATTGGCTGCTTCAACTGTTCGATTACAGCCAACTGTCCGAACACACTGTCAGATTGCAACTGTACAGAATTGTTGGTGAAAAATGAAGCAGCGAATGTATTAATAATATTTGAGGAATTTGTAATGGTTATGATTATGATGGTGGTCAGTAGCACATATATGAAATCCAACATGTCCCAAATAAAATTCATCCCAGAGCGTGCGCTGTTTTCTTGTGGAAAGTAAACCCGGAGGAAGAGAAAGCTCTAATTAAAGTTGGATTGATATATCAGTCGGTAGATCATCCTAGCCGCTGTCATATTTCCTCACATTCATACATTTAGGGTGTTAAGCAACTTAATCGAAATGGAGGCTGACTCGAAAACTTAACAGTTATTCAGCCTCCAGGCTCTTCACTAGTACTAGAGTGAGTAATTATAAACTGACATACTATGCTGAGTATTAGTACCCGGGTTCAAGCCCTCCACCCTGTTATCACTAGATTTATTCTCAGTTGTTTACCTCCTTGGCTGCGCTTTGAATATCGCTGACTGGTCTACAGCCTGCCAATTACGGTTTTTAAGCGAAATTTCTTATTTCCATTTAAAATTTTATTTCCAATTTGTTTGTATTTTAGGGTCTAGATGAAAGTTGATTAGTGTAAATTGGATTCACCCCAGTGATAGAAAGTGTAATGCTGTTATTATCATTATTATTAGCATTATAACACTTGCCAATGTTTGGTGCTAATAAAGGTTTATCATTTATAACTACCAGGTTACGAGGGACGAGCTTTGTACGGTTATCATTGTCCCGGACACCCGCTGACTAGTCTCGGGATATACCGCAACCAAGAAGGAATGCTATACGTGAAGTGATTATTGAACAGTCCACGGAAGCAACTTGGAATTGTTTCACGATCTACACTAGTTCCTTTTTTAAATCTTTTAGCTGAGGTCATTCGATGTAATCGCATATCCTTAACACACAGAATTATACAAGATGGAAGTATTACATCCTCATTTAAAAAGGACTGATTATGCAAATAGCTAAAGCCGTAAAAGAAAAAAAAACCTGGAAAAATAAATTTCATCCGTTTTATTCATTCATTGGGTCAAGAGCGGATTAAATGAGGATCAAACGAAGAGAATAAGTAACTTATTACCTCCCGAGTAACTTGAATCATTATATTTATTTCTGTCATATTTACAGTTATCAATGTATAAAAATTTATTAGAATCTCTTCATCTGGCTTTTGGATAAAAACAAGACGATTCATTTATTTCGAGCGTTGCTAGCCTGAGAATGCTTCGGAAGAATAAGAACTGACCTCATTTAAGTAATCTGTTGCATAGCTTATCACCAAATTGCAGTTATTTCGAAAACTCGCACCGGAGTCCATGGTTTCAATCAAAATATAAATGTTGCTTGAAACGTCATTTCAAAAGCATACTGTGGAGGATGGACACTTCGAGAAATGATCTTCAATTAGAGTGTATTTGCTCTTCTATTCGCTTTTGTTTGTTTTTCAGTGAAGCTTTTGTTTGCCTCCTTATGAATAACTTATGGTTACTTTTTGCTTATCCGTGGGAAGTCTGTGCTACCTAGGATAGAACCGTTAGGAACTCACCATAACAACCATCTGAAAATACTAAAAATGACGAGAACGGCAATCTTTGTTGGTCCTTCCACTTCAAAATCTGTGCCCAGTTTAAAAATCGCGAAGGAACAAACTATCCCTATGGGTGATGCACATCACTGTTGTAACAAAACCTATTTGTTTTTCCTGGCATACAACATGCGGCTGACGGCAATGGATCTCTTTTTGTAAATTACTTTTGAAATCAAAAATAACTTCTGAACCCGCGGGAGATCACATAACTTATTAGCATAAAAATGAGGACAGCTTTTTAAAAATATTTATAGTGAGTCATGGTGGCAACGCTGATGACTCCACGAGCAACTATCGACCCGTTGATCGCAGGAAAATAACTTAATGGGAATAGTTTCCTTGTCTGGCTATCTTCGGTAAGAGAACTAGGAGGAGCATGTTATCCGGAAAATACTAGTATGTAAGTCTGGACATAATATTTTCTGTTATCTGATGATCAAAGCTCAGCAGGGAAGATATACCTCTTCGGCCCCTTTTCCTTTCTTTGTGGCAGATGGAGGGCTTTAACTGAGAAAAATTGATGTATATCGATGGTTTGTACAGAGACTGTTCTCCGAGAATTATCTGGTATTCTGATTTCTTGGAGAGAGCTTGTGAAGTGAACGCACAGCCTTCTCCGCCCATTTTTAGGGGAAAATTTGCGTGTGTTTATTATTTGTCCTAAAATCGATTTTTCTTGTTCAATATTATGAATTTGAACTGTTTATTTACGCCGCTAACGACAGCCCAAATATACATATATATATATATTTATATATTTAAAAGAAATAACCAATTGAGAAATAGAAATAACCTTAACTTTTCACAGCCCATGCGCGAGTGCACGATCTTATCTCTGTAAAACAAAAAAATAATTTAAAAAATGATAGTAGAAATATTGAACCTATTCTTCAACTGCAGCAGCTTACAACCAAGCGATGAGAATGATAAGTTATTTTCCATCTAATCCTAATTGCGCTGTTAGCAAAGTAAATGTAAACGAGTTGATGAATTTCAGCTGGTGGTAGGAGATAGCAATTTATTATCATCAGGAAACAAAGTGTATCATGGACTAAATGGAAGTAGTTTAGAAGGACACCTGCCAAAGCTGTATACATTATCGTTTTGCAATTCCACCAAGGGAATGGTAGAATCGCGAATTTCTTCCAAACGTTGGTTGTTATGTTTGTTGAGTATTTCGTTGTTTCTTTTCGTTTTGTATGTTATTTTATCACTGTACTATTTTCATTCTATCTATTTATTAAGATTTTTTACAGGAATTCTACACAGCAACTTTAAACCACATGCAGTAAGACTTAAAACCCATACTCCAAAACTCAGTTTTCTTTTTCTTTTTCCTTTTTTTTCTTTGTTTTGTTTTGTTTTTTGTTTTGTATACTGGTACTTTCACCTCACAATTTCGATCTTCAGCAAGGTAATCATGATGTTAACCGTGCTTCTTCCTTAATTTTCCTGTAAAGATCCTCGTCGTCATGTTGGCAGGAGGTTGCCTAGCCTTAGAGCGATCCAATTCCTTTCTATACTCAGTGTGAGGTCATTACCTCTTTGGTCATGCGATATCGATATGAACTTCTTCCAATTTTACTGAGTGTGTTACGATTTGTTCTAATGAGTTTGGCTGTATGTAATTGTTTGTTTTGGTTAATTACCGACTCAAGTTGCTTTAAGCCAGAAGCTCTACACAGCCTATCACGTTCAAGATTATAGACCAATCTCCAACTTTTCCCCAAAAGTGAAACTACAATATGATCAAAGAGTTCCTTCCTTACAAAATTAAGCGCTTGGTATTGAGATGTTGCAGATGCAAACGAGGCTCAACACTATTTAATTTTTTGTCTATTGGGAATCTAACCGGCCGTTCCGGTTTCCCGCTATCTTTGTAAATTTTGTTTGAGCGGCCTAAATGGCGATTTTGGATATCATATGATATGAAAAAACTCGCACCCAAATTTTGAAAAAATGAGGGATAGGAGTAAAGATACGCTTAAGGACTTCTTCCATGGCGGAAACGGATTAGAACACTACATGCATCAAAGTCGTATGGGCTTTTTACAGCCAACAAAAATTTACTTAAAAATGAACTTTAAAAATTAAAAAAATGAACTTAAATTAAAAAGTTTTGCCAGCCAATAAGAAAGGACAAGGTGTTGGATCGGATCATTCCCTGCTAAGTTGCAACGACGCAAAGGGATAATTGAACACGTAACCGATATTTCTTTTGCACTCTTCCCTTTTCCTTGCCGACTCTGGCCGAAGTAGAGGTTATTATGGCTATCCAATAATATCTGCTCTCTGCCTTAGGCAATTCTGCGCACGACTTGAAACCGTTTAAAAGGAAAAACTCATCAAGTTCATCTGGCTCCTGAGTTGAACTCGGTAGGTATTAAAAGCAGCCAGCTATTTCCTGTAAATGCAGAAAGGAAAAAAACACAGAAAAAGAGAAATCGATTTAATTTCCTTTTCCTGTTGTACTTTCTTTTCAAGTTGTGGTAAGGGTGTTTCCTTAAATTAAAACATTTCAGAAAAGCTTGGCCTTTTGAAGGATTTGTTGAGTGTCAATTTAAGAGTCTTATAAAGTGAGAATGTCAAAGAGTTTTCTTTTATTACCTTCCTGAACTCATTTTTAAGGGGATTTTTCAATTTTAAGGGCATCTCCAAACTTTTGGAGAAAGAATGTAGTCGAATTTATATTCTGGAGCTTTTTTTTTTTTTTTATAAAAGTTGCTAAAGGAAGGAGATCGGGCGTCATAAGAATGGATCTCAGAAACATCTTGGAAAAGTTCTTGAATGCTATAGCTTGCATTTTTATGTCTGATGTCAAACATCAAATTTGCTATAAGTTCATGATAGGAGAATTGTAAAGGTTACATTTCGGCATCAGTAAATAGAGGAATTGTATTCTGGTTGCGATCAAAATTAAAAAAAAAAACCGGCGAGCACGTTTTTGGAGCTAAAGAAACTTGTTAAGATACGATTTACAGGCTTGGTCCCAAGCCATCAGACCATAACTTAGATATGCTGTAATAAGATAACGAAAAAAGTTTTAGAGAGCATTTCTTGGCACAAAATATCGTAAGTTAGGGGTCAGTTCAATCGTTTGACTAATTTTGATTTTACGAGGTCAATATGGTGTTTCCAAGACAGATGATTATCGACTGGAATTCCTAGATACTTCACAAACTCCTTGCAATCCAAAGCTACCCTCTTATTAGGTTCATTACAAAATATCATTATTTTGGGTTGTTAAATAAGTTTTCTTTTAGCGAGACAAAATATGACAAAACTTTTCCTCATATTTAAAGGTTAACTTATTTGCCGTCAACAAATTACACGGTTTGCAGAGTTCCTGGTTCACAATTTCCTCTAATGATTGTAGGTTTTTGTCAGCATATAAAATGTTTGTGAAAAAAATCAAGTTTGTCAGATATCATTGATACATACTAAGAACAGCAGTGAGTCAAGGACTGAGCCTTGCGGCACTCCGCAGGTGGTGTTGGTTTCTGAGGATATATGCGAATCAAATTTCAATTTCAACTTTAAAGTTTATGAAAGGTATCGCTTTTCAATTTCTCTCTTCGTATCATTGGCATGAGCAAGCAAATAGGTGCTTCCAATAAGCAAATGGCTGCTGGCACTCAATAGTTTTCATAAATATGTTTAATACGTTTAGTCAAAATGGATTGTTCATTCAGTAAAAATGATTATTTTCTCTCTTCAGTGAGCTTTTTTTTTTCTGCGAATTTCGTCCCCGACATGAACAAATATGCAAACATGTTTACGTTGCTCGCATACAGAAAGATATTGCAAAATATACTGTTAGACACCTAGCCAGTAAATATTGGGTCTCTTCTCAAAAATATATTCCGATGCGGTATTAAAATAAAATGTGTAAACTACTGGTTTAAAAAAGAAAAACTTAATCGTCAAAGTGCAGTATTGTTCTACTTCCTGGATAAAACCTGCTTAAAATTTTTATCGATTAATTGAACATATCGAAAACTGGACCATGAGCCTAACACACATGCAATGCACTTATCCAAGAAAAACTTCATCGTCAAAGCGCAATATTGTTCTACTTCCTTGATGAGTCCTGCTTATAATTTTTATCGATTAATTGAACATATCAACATATCGAAAACTGGACCATGAGCCTAACATACATGCAATGTACTAATCCATCATCCCACCAACTAATTATCAGCATCATCATATTGACCGTACCTTTCCGCAAATTTTAACAACGCAACTTCCTCGCTAGTTTCAATAACAAAAGCGATTCATTGTTTCGAGATAATTTTCAGCTTGCATGCAGCTGTACTTTAAGAGAATTCAAAGCACATTGGTCGAATGTGTTCATTTGAAAAAGTTTTTCAGCCTTGTTGTTTTCTGAAAATTCGCACCTGTTCCTTTAAATATGCATTGCTGCAAAACAAACATTTAAGCTGCAGTTTTTCCTTCTAGCTGAACCCATACCTACTGCTACTTTTTCTTGTATCATTAAAATTTGCTTTAAAACTATCTCGTTTCACCGTATTTGAAACCTTTGTTCACTTTCTTTGTGAACTGGTAAAGGTGTAGATATAAACTTTTCAAACGGAGAGAGTAAATTGATACAACATATTATTTTGTTTACTAAATAAATAATTAATAATGTGTGAAAAATCCGCGACGAATGCAGATTATTCATAAAAACACTCCATATTATCACACTATACGTGGTGATTCCAATAGCCAGCAATGATTTCCTTTAAAAACATTAAATAAAAGTAAAAGCAAAGAACCAAACCAACGGAGTAAGCGACACACTTCTAGAAAAATGCATCTTCACAGGAAGTAGGACATATAGCTTATTATAGGCCCACGATAATGAATCTCTGACCAAAAGCAATTCAGTCACCTGAATTGGGAACGGTTAAATACCCACTTCTTTTTCTTGGAATAAACCTTTCAAACCCTTCGTTCCTTTAATAGCTAGCCATAGCCACGGTCACGTTACGACATAAAACTCACCCTATTGGTCTTTATGATAATTCTATTCCACAAGAATTTTTAATTCTGCATAAAACGTGCCGCTATTTCGGTTTTTGCTAACATATTTATTTTAAATGTTTACAAATTGAAATATCAGTTTTAGTAAATTATTGTCTCTCTAATAGATTCCATTAGATTTTAAACGAAGCTCCTGTATCAGATTGTCCATATCTATCTTCCCTGTTTCGAATTCATTTTTGTTTTATAAATCTTTTTGGTTTTAATTTTCATGTTCACTGGCTAAGGTTGAAAATACAAAAATTCAGACTGTTAATTTTTAATGATATGTTTTGAGCGATAGGTATCATGTGTCCAATTTTTAGATGAAAAGCTTCTTTGCCTTGTTTACTTTATTGAGACGCTTGCACTTTTCCCTTGAAGCATTAATTCCCGTATATTAAAAACACTCTAGCTGGATTTCACTATCCGTTGTCAATTACTTCTCGTGATCTGTGCTCGAATCTTGCAAGCTCCTGTAGAGGACCCGAAAGGTGCCACACCTATGGTAAGTACACTATGAGGAACTATATTATTTTGAAAAGTTTCCAACGGTCATGGTCGGCTGAGTTTGGCTGCACCAGCCGGCGAAAATTCCTTAAAAATCTTCTACTTATTCACACTCGCGTTTAGGCAATGATGAAATAGATAACAATTTATGTATTGAGTATTAAGTTTATTTCAATCAAATTTTTGTTTTTCATATTTTCAGTGGAAAGCCATGGTTCTGTGTTATTTTGGTGTGCTCATCGTCATATGGCATGCACAGCTGACCCAAGCCATTGCACAGTGCGGTCCCCCCACATATTCAGAGTATGGTCATCATCTTTCCGGTCACGTTATTACAACAAGTAAAACTTCCAGCATTACTGAGTGTGTGATGTTCTGCTTGAACGAGTCTCGCTGCAAGAGTTTGAACTTTCGTTTAAAAGATAAGTCATGTGACTTGAATGCTGCTGACAAACGTACTCACCCAAGGGATTTTGGTCCGAAGGAAGGATCAGTTTATATGAACAAGGTATGGTATTGGCGAATTCTATATAAAGAAATTAAACGAAATAATGTTTATCTGGCAGTACACATCGAAAAATTATGCTATTTAATTCTAAATCCGTGATCCTCCCACAGTTATTCTGATTTGAGAGACGATAATGTTTTCGTACATTTGTCGTCTCACTTTTGCCACCTGTGATTGGCTCACATATAGAATCAGATCAAAGTGCTCTGTGGGTAAACTTGTGAATTGACAGATGATTTTTTGGATTATGTTTAATGCTATCTGGAGACAAACGGGAACAAGTTTTGAGTGATATAACTAGGCCAAGACTGCCACCGTCATTTTCGATCTCCGCCTGAGTAGATTTTAGTCACGTGCTAGGTACCGTATAATCAAGAACAAGATAGAATTTCATTTCAGGCCTACTTATCAATTTTGTGGTGTATAACTTTCGCATTTTAGTACGTAATATTTATTTCGAATCTTCAAATTATCTTGAAACTTAAAAGAAAATTGTTCTTTAAGAGATCACTGAAAATCGGTAGCTAAAATTGTTTGTTTAGGTGTTATTTGATTTTCGTGTTAACTTGTAATTTCGTCCGTCGCCGGCATCTTCTGTTGCTTCACACAGGAAAAACACACGATACGAAACGTAGTGATCGATTTTGTCCTCAATCTCACGCCACAACAGAAAAAACTTTTGAACATCTGTAAACTCCGAGCGGTTCGCAGTAAGTGATATTTTCAATGAATCTTCGGATTGTTTTCAAGTTCAAGGATTGTAAATTACAATTTTATGAAAAACGAAGGTTGTTCTGTTATTTCAGTGTGAATCCTTACATGCCTGCCAGTCGCTGGCGCCGCTTGTTGAAACTAAAACGAAAAAAAAAACTCTTTTAAGATTATCATTGGCTTCTTTTTCACCCCACCACTATTCTTAGCAACAAAGGTCGCCATTTCGTTTGTTTATTGCTCGCCAAGAACTATCAAATGCACTCAAAAGCCTAAAATCGAAAAAAAGTTTACAGGAATCGACCAATCGAGCGAGTGAGCGAGCGAGTGCCATTCTCCACATCATATCTAGAACTCGCTCTTGCGCATGCGCGCAATTCACGAGTTAAAAAAAATGACTTCGCAGCATCAAAATGTGTTCCTCACGTATCTTCAAAATTTCAGTTTCGATTAATAAAATCTCTATCCACGCGTATCCTTTTCGATTTAAAAAGTGAGATTTCTGCCTCTGGTTCAGCCTTTTGTCCAAACTTGAGAAAAAAATACTTTTGTATTAGGCTTCGTTGTTTCACGATTGCGATCAACTAATGAATACATCCTTTCCGAATAACCGACAACATTTCGCAATTATTATATAGAATGCATTTGTGTTATTGACCAACCGTCTTTCTTGGATGGTTGTTTGTTAAAATAGGGCGTGGTACACAGGGTTCCCAAATATTAGCAACAGAGAAATAAGTAAACAAATAAACAAATGCGTGAATAGATAAATGATTGAATAAACGAAGCCATGTAGTCAATAACATATCAAAACATAACATAACAAATTTATTTATTAAGTGTCGATGTCTTCAGCTTGGAGAGCTATTTGGGGACACTAAAAATAATAGGAAAAAAACAATAATAAAATGAGTTTAGACACGGTATCATAAGGTAAATTCATAATTAACTGAGATCTAAAATTTATCAAAAGTTAAAATTTTAAAGTTAAAAGTTACGGAGTTGTCCCCACTAAAATATACAGAAAAATGCTAAAAATATTTTTCAAAATTCTCAAGAAATACAAGTAAGACAGGAGCTACAATTGTCACCTATAAGATCTTCAAGGTTAAAACGCTATATGTTTTACTTAAAGGATTGTGAGCTAGGTTTGCCTTGAATTTGTTGTCCGATCTATACCATATATATGGTCCAAAGTACCTTAAAGAATGTTTCCCGTAATGTTCACTATTAAATGTGGGTGAATGAAATTCCATATTCCTTAGATGATGTTTGGATGACTGAACACTAAAAATGTCAACGACATTACTAAGTACCAAGCTGCACTTAACTTAATGCATTAAGGTAGCAAGATTTTGTAAACGCCGACTTTGTAGGCTAGGTAGATGGGCACAATTGAGGAGATTGAAGTACTCCACTGAATGTGTGTTATACACAATCTTAAGGGCCCGTTTCTGTACTCTTTCAACTTTTCTGGCGCCGGAGGCTTTACATAAGTGCCATATAAGGTGAACTATGGCAATATTGAGGACTTATAGGGATCAGATTTCTTTTTTTTTTACACAGTTCACAAATGCGTTTGCTAAATACAAGGTGTTCTTCGATGTTAACTCCGAGAAGGCTAAAGTCCTCAGTACTTTTAATGACATGCGCATTGGATGTTAATAAAGCTTGATCTTTATCATTCTGAGAGTTGATCATCAGCAACTGGATCTCATCGGGGTTGACCATAAGACAGTTATCGTTATACCAGGTCAAGGTCTATATGCTTTTAATAATAAAAGGTCCTTGATCATCATTTCAATTGTTAGGACTTCAACGTGTTTAAATGTTGGCGTTTTTACAATTTTAGAAGCTATAGTTGAAGAAATAAATGTACGCAATAAGTCCGTCACCTCCTTTCGGCTTCTCTCCTTCCTGTACATTTGATAGCCTTGTGGTCGGAACTGGTCACTTTTGTATGAAGAGTCAATCTTCATTTCAGAAAGTATTATGATTTGTGATTTTAAGCCCCTATTTAGTAATTTCAGCTCGTCGAACTTATTCTGAATGCTGTTGATGTTTAGGTGAATCATAAGTAGATCATGTTTATAAGACTTAAGTTGTTCAACAAGGTCGGATTCGTTCCAGTTCGAGTCGACAAAAAGCAGTATCAGTTCAGAAGCTTGGCCGGTACTAATCCGTGGGTTCCTTAATCAAATCATAGGGTTCGGCGTAAGATAGCACGGTAAACAAACATTTAGTGCAGTACCCTTCGTAAGTTCGACCTTTGCTGGAGCAATTTATATTCTCTAGGAGACATTTCACCACACTTCATGTGAGTTCGTAGATTACATTGCGTATACTTTAAAGTACAATGATTTCGAGCTACTGTTCGTTCGCATAGCTGGCAAGCATTTCAACTATTTTCTCAAGGATTTGATCTTGAATTCAATGCATCGACTTGTCCAGGATTTGTGCTTACATCACCGCAGGACAGGAGACGCTGTAACCTGAAGATTAAGTCAGAATTTGGGTAGCGAGTAATTCTCATGGCAAAGCAGCCTTTCGGGCGAGTAGTGCATGTCGGATAATATGTTGTCGCGAACTTTGATAGAAAAGAGCCTCCTTAGCATAGGTAACCTCCACAAAACGGTGCCCGTTGATAGAGGCCCGGGTCAGTCGTGTATTAAGAGAGTAAAAATTGCTTCAAAGTAAGAAACAGAGGCATAGCATGTTGACGATGTAGGACCAACCCATCGCTGATCCGACCGCTATGAGCACGTAACCATAATCTATGATGGTTATTTCTGCCAATAACCATCTACAATCTATAATCTACAGGATGATGAATTCAAATCTTGTTCAGAAATTCTAAAGAAATTGCCTCATGCGGAAAGCGACAACTACTGGATAACTATTGGAAATAGAGACGTACAAGTTTACTGTGATATGGAAAAACATGGTAACTACAAAATGATAAAATAAAAAGCAAAGAGTAAATTGTACTTTAAAAAAACCTTAAATTCTGCCTCTGGTAAGAGAGAAAGGTTACAAGTTCTGTTACTGTTTTTGACCAGTGGCAGTTTTGCTTTAGTTGAAATTTCGGCCAATGCACTGAGGTTGAATTGTCACTTTTGCCAGTGATAGAGCTTCTGAGTACCTTTTCAATCCCAAGTATCCGATATATCCCATGCTAAAAATGTATAAGCGTTTCCTGGGAAAAGTAGGTCTGTACATTTTGTCAAGGAAACAATCGCGGGAGTAAAAAAGGAACAAACAAAGGTATATATTGAGGTTTTAGTTGTTTCGCATTTGCACATTTATTCACTTAATCTTTTTCTTTTTCTCCCTTCTTGCTACCAAGAAAGTTTCTTAAGCATGAAATCGTGAAATTCCCTTTTAATGCTATCGGAAAGTTTATCACCGAGTAAGCGTCCTATCTACAGTTTTCTCAGCTCACATTTATATTTATCGAACAAAGACAATGTTTATAACCTGACATGAGGCTACATTTTGTATTATGATTTTATGCAGGCGGTGGATGGACCTTAGCCGTGAGTATCAGTTCCAAGAACAACGATCATCTTCAAAGCGATGCCAACAACTGTCTGAACTCCGTACTGTGCGTTCCTTTTATGGACAAGAACCAGGGTAGAAAATTGAGTGACAGCGATATACATGAAGTAGCAAAGGAAGAAGGTGAATATGAAAAAAAGACAAATAACAATAATGATAATAATAACAAAAATGGTAATAACAGTATGACATAAAGAGCGCCTATATTGAGGATTTGATCAATCCACATTCTGAGTTTACATAATGTGTGTTTAATAGCTCTTTTTAATGTGCATTATAACATTCTTATTTATAACTCATTATAAATCATTGTCAAGACCCCTCCCTATTCAATGTTGCATTTTGCAGCTCAACGATAACGGGAATCGCCAATCATCAATTGCAGACTGTAAAGATTAGTCTTCTGCGATTCGTAAAGCGGCCGGCGCTTCGCGAAACTCATCCAAGCTAGAACTTAGTCAGTTAACAAAGTGATTGGTGAAACAGGCAGAAATAATTGGTATTTTCAACGATCTGATAAATCAATTGAAAATTTTCTCTAAATGACAAAATGTCTCCTGTTTTTATTTTATTTTATTTTTTTTATTTATTTATTTACTTTACTACTTAAAACAGCTAACAGGTTAACAGTGATGCATATAAAGGTTTTCTATTCCTGAAATATTGGTTTGGAATTATTATCTGAGTGGGTTTGTCAAGTGAAGATGAAGGCTGTGTATTCAGCGATGACTTTACAAAGCGTGATTAGTTATTCACTATTGTTATGGTAACAACATGCAGACATGATCGGTCTTACATCTATATATCAAAACGTTGTCTTGAAAATGTAAGGGTATACACTTAAATCACTTTATAATGGGTAACGAAACGCTTCTTTGCATTGCAGTCAAACGTATTTTTGCGTCCTTCCAGGAACTTTTAGGATCGATGTGTTACAAAGTGATGGCACTTTCTTGCATACAGTATTTTATCGGGTAAATGTCTGATACTCATTTATTTGATCATTTATTCCATACGTTATTTTACGGAAGACGACTTCATGAAAAATGTACCGAAGCTGGAAGGTAACGAAATTTATTCAAAACCAATACGATGAGCGAATAATTGAACACAGAATGTTTCTAAGATGAATTAAAGCTGTTACTTCAATCTCGTTTCCTTTTTTATGGAATCAGAGCATGTCGTTGATAGCAAGAGCATGAATTTTTAAGAGGTTAGTTTAAGAAGATGAAAAAGTAAAATAAGCTCGTCACGAACATACTATGAATTAATCTCGTTTTTTTCTTACTTTTAAGATACCCAGTGGGCAAAACAAATTCAACTCAACATGTCATCAGGGAAAGTAAGATAACTTTTTTTTTTCCATTACTCGTTTTTGCCCTACTTGATTGTTGCATATCAAACAGCAATACCAAAAGGCAATCTTAGAAAGCGCATGTATCACGAAAACAGTGCTATGGAATTTGGGTGTTTATTAGCGTGGCGATAAGGGAAATCGTTCCACATGTCAAGCTATACCCATAAACCGTCACAAATTCTCGACACTTCCCCAATTTATTACAGTTTAACGCATTTAAAGTTCTTTCTTAGTGTAAAACTATGAAAGACTGGCTGACCGCTTCAATTCCCAATGCGATATAGGGCTGTTGCTTGATTACTTATTCTGAAAAAAGGAAAAAAAAACCTTTCGTTTATTTCAGTTGTCCACGTATTATCATATCCCACTCCTATCCAAATGGTTGGGAGAGTAGCAGCTGCACAGGGATTGAAAAGGGATATCTTATCTTGCCGAACAACTACTGGGGTAAGTAAATATGTAAAAAGTAAATGTGTTCGTGGACATATGATAGTTTTGCGGATTGCGTATTCCCAGCGTGTGTAAAAGCCTGTTCCAAGCGTTCAATGTGACAAAGCGGAGCGCGATCTTTAAACGAAACGATGATAAAGGCGGAACCAAAAACAAAGAAGGCTTGAGTCGTGGCCCGCCACGGACCCGTTTCTTTTTGCTTCGCAGTTACTACTGCGCCGTTTACAATCGCGCTTTGTTTTACTTATTGAACATCTGGAACAGCTTGGCGTGTAAGTAAAACCCTCTCTTCCATTACGAAGGAAGAAACGATGACACAGACCGTTGTAGCCCTTGGGAGTAATCAAAGGAGCAAGTACTTGCAAAGACAAAGGGGATCTTCCAGGCATTTTGGCTGACAGAAACTAAAAGCCAAGTAATTTCAATTGCTTACCAGAGCAAAGCATATAAATAACAGAAGCCATTCAGAGCAACGCCAGGAAATGCAAGCGATTAAGTTTCACTTTTTAGTATTTGAACACACTTTGACTTATTGTGCGAATTTGTTAAAAAATAACTGTAGTTTTTGATGGACATGATAACAGAGAGTGCGGCGGCTTGGCTTGGTCTTCGTCCCAATACGGTGAGTAATAATAATAAGATAATAGATATGAGATAGTAATTTCCACAATCATTTATTATTTATGATAATAAGCAAATATTACTGTAAATTTTTTAAAGCTAATTTACTAGCATCTTTGACTTCTTTCTCTTGACCAAACGAAATAAAGCGTTATTCCCCAATAGTCAGATAGACCGAGTTTCTTTGGATGGATCTAGGGAACAGCTCCATATGAATTTTTACAATTTATTCCTCAACCTTTTCTATGTTTTGCTCTTGCTTGTTTGTTTTTTCTTTTGTTCTTGTTTTTTTAATCTAGTTTTCCCTTACCTTTTCCTTTTTTCCCAGTGGTAGTTCGAAGAGTGTAGCATACTTTCGTTGATAATGGTTTAAAATATCTGATTCAAGAGAGCCTTGATGCTTAGCATGTTACAAACATATCACTTTTCCGTTAATAATTTCATCCCAAACAGGTAACGGAAAACGTGCCCTGTATGGTTACACAATTGGCGGCAATCGTGGAATATACAATAACAATGCGGGGATGATGTACGTTAAATAAACATTGGACAGGTGTTGGCATAGATAAATCTGATATGATATGTAAAGTTACTATGATTTACACAACCTTAAATCGAAAATTTATCAAGGGGAAAATTATTTCTTACATAGCGTTCAAGGGGACAAAACTCCTTTCACAAACAGTTCGCCGTAGTAGAGCTATGGATTAACCGAGGAAATGTACCGATGATGATTGATAGAACGATTTATTTGTAATTCCTATAAGACTTAAGAGTTGACTTCAGATTTATTACTGATTAATCTATGACTGATTATAGTTAGAAGTTTGTAAAACGCTCTACACTAAACGCCATAACGGAAATTTATTCCTGCCTAACAGATATCTTGAGCATGCAAACAGTAAATAACTTAATAAAAGAAAAAAATACTTAGAATAAGTTATTAACTACGTAAATAGAAAACTTGGTAAATCAATACAAAAAATTTAAAATTTGAACATAAATAAAGAAATGATTGCAAATACGATTGATAGGTCTTACTTATCTTAGTAGTGACGTATACTAAACACAGCGAGAGAAAACCAAGATTCGGGACGGCCATTAAATCCATGAAAACCATGCATTAAATTAGCAGAGTGGAATAACTTAAAAGTGATGAATTGCGCAAGCGCAACTTTTCTGAGAAGGAAACCAGAAAAAATCCAGTTTAAGTTACCGTTAAATCCGCCATCTTTCCCATCTTATTGGACGAATTACAAATGCTCGAAACAAACTGCAAATCCACGGTGCTGGTTTAATTTCTGTTATTTCGCAGTGCGTTATTACATTACTAGGCCCAGATAATCAAAACGGAGGCATTCGCCAATAAATAATGCTATTTTTATAATTTTAAGGCGAAGTTTTAACGTCGTTCAGATTTCATTAAAATTTCCACCAGCTCCGTTAGGAAATGATTTGATTTAACGACAGTCGTTTATAGGCGAAAACATCTATAGTCAGGCGCCATGCACTTTATTTCATAGCAAACTTATTTTAAGTAAACTCCGTGTGTCGAATTTAAGTTCTCTCGTGATAGGGATTCTGCCATACGGACCGTTTCCACCCAAACGTTTATACCCCGCGTGCGCTCATTCACCTTTAATCTACAAAAGAAGGTAGGATAAATATAAGATCCCAAGATCTTATCATTAATTCTCCTTCCTGTCTGCCATACAATTCTTATGATGTTAGTTCAGAGGATTTGGTATTGGATCAACTAAATAATCCTCCCGATGCTATTTTTCTTTATTCTCATCGCTTGTGTACTTGATATCGGAAGGATATTGTGAGGGGATCAGAAATTCTGTCTCGGTCATTCATGGGAGTCAAAGGGTTAAGAGAAGCAGTATGTAGGTTTGAATACTCGAAAGTCTATCTGTTTTAACTGAGAGCTGAAGGAGAATTTCACTGCAATGAGTGAAGTATGGTTTATGTTTAATGCACCCATTCAATTGAGCATCCAACATCAAATTTAAACTGAGATTGCATCAGGCTGGGGATAAACAATTCAGGCGAAGGGAAACTTTCATTAGATAAGAGACTGAAGGTACGTAATAGCTTTCATATATATATTTTGTACTTTTTATCCACATGTGGTTAATCATTTAGTGGGAGGCTTTATTATTTTTGTTTTCAGTGAGCACCCTCTAGCGAATTATCGACCCCGATATGTCCAAACCAAGCTTAATCTGAACCAAAAGTCATCATGGGATATGAAATGAATCATTGAAAATTGTTACTAAAAACCGACGAGCTGACAGGTAAAATGTAATAAAGATGATTTTTGATGGTAACAGCAAGGAAAAGCCGAAAAACTCCATTACGCGTTCCACAAACCTTTGCAAGCTATTACCAACTGATACATAGGAAACCACAATCATGTCGAGTGTCGATGAAGATACAGAGCCGGGTTAATCACGATTTGTTATTCAATATATTTATTTGTTTCTCATCGAGTCCAACAGATCCCTTAAGTGCACAAAAAGTAGAAAACTTGTGATACCAACGGAAAAAAAGCAAACAAAGAAAATCAATACCTTTGTAAACAAACTAATTAAATGTTAAATATATACGTAAATGAACACATGAAAAATCAATAATCATTAAATACATGGGCGATTGAGAGGTTGTTTCACTAATCTTTCAAGAGATTTGTAAACTCCACTTGTTTCATTCAAACGCAGCAAAACATAGGCAACTTTCTTTTTGGTCAGAAGTTACTACAATCTAATAATCAACCTGATACTTTCAAATTTCGCGGCAAAATGCAAAACTTGTCCTTTCATTCATAAAGTTAATAAAATATCGGTTCCTAAGTGATCCATTAACGCCACTGATCATTTCACCATGCAATTCATTTGAAAGGAAACATCAATAGCCCCATATTCGTTAATTTCCACTAATCATGAAACTAATTAATTGATTAATTGATTAAACATCATTTTACCTATTTTGAGGCGATTTCCTTGGTGAAAACCAAGAAAAACCGTGGGGGTGGTCTATCTGCCGATTTTAGGGGTAAGAGAATTTCTCAAATGAAGCAAACCCCTAAAACACTCCAAAGCCTCCTTGCAGACTCAAAATGAAGACTGGTTCTTATACGGAGCCTTGTAAGTGCCATACATGTGTGCGTACAGCATCATACATGTGTGCGTCATATTTTGGCGCACACTTTCTTACCTGCGGCGAGACTTCTTTTTTGCTGGCGCGACTTTTTTGCTGGCGCGACTTTTCTTCGCTGGTGCGACTTTTTTTTGTTGGCGCGACTTTTTTTTGCTGGCACGACTTTTTTTCGCTGGCGCGACTTTTTTCTCAAGCGCTCATTTGTAGAACGCTGTTAGTTTTATTGTGGGCTCAAACTACGGGCACGTATAGTTGTAAGCAAGATGGCTGACTCGTCTGACTCCGATCTAGAGAAAGTAAGTAGTGTTTAATTTAGTTCTGAATACTGTCGTATTCGTTAACGAACTGAGAAAATGAATAGATGGAAGGCAGCTAGTTTTATTGTTTCGCTTTTTTTCTGCGTTGACACTGTAAATTATCCGTCGAAAACACAAAACCAGGCTATGCTCGAAAACCACAACAGACAGAACAAGCTTGATTCTTACTTTATTTTACGCTGACAAGAAAATTCAAGTATAATAATACTCTTAATAAATATCTAGTCCTGTATTTAGGTCAAAAGTTAAGCAAAAAATCGTTTCAACATTTCAAGTTGTAAACGCGAAAAAAGCTAAAACAGGAGGAAGATCTCTCAAGATCTTACCTAATCAGTGCAAAATCTTGTTAGTAGTGTACGTCATAAGATCTCGGAAGATCTTAGTGAGATGTTCAACCTTGGGCCAGTTGATTTCTGGTGGGCACATGAATAATGATTTTATAAAAAATAACATTATCATGAAATGCAGTCTGTTTTAAACAATACTAACCTGTACTTTTAGTTTTTATCTTATGATGTTGTTAATGCATTTACAGGTTTGTAACTTTCTACTACAACGAGGAGTGGAGGAAAGTGTAGTTGAGAAATTTGAGGAAAAAAGGTTAGCATTTGGTTGTTTCATATCTAGCACCCCTCCAGGCCAGGTTTTGTGGTATTTGAGGGTGCATTGAAATTAACTCCTAAGCAGATGCCTGTGAGTTGTCATAGCAAGCCAAAATCACTGGCTAGTCAATTAACTTTAGCTGGTTACCTTTGTGTCATTTTACCATCAACAACAACATATTAACAGAAAACCATTCTTTAAACCATCACGACCCCTTACTATTTCTTATCAGCCTTCTACTTCAAAGTTGTGCACTGATCAATAATATTGATATCTCAATCTAAGCCCTAAAATACAAACAAATTGGAAATTAAAATACGAGGTGTCGTTTAAAAACCGTAATTGGCAGGCTGCAGACCAGTCAGCGATATACAAAGCGCAGCCAAGGAGGTGAACAACTGAGAATAAATCTAGTGATAACAGGGTGGAGGGCTGAACCTGAGTACTAATACTCAGCATAGTATGTCAGTTTATTATTATTCACTCTTGAACGTTACAAATTTATTAAAGGAAATACTCAGAAAATACTAAAGAAATAGTACAAGTGAAGAGCCTGGAGGCTGAATAACTGTTAAATTTTCGAGTCGGCCTCCATTTTGATCGAGTTTAAATGTATAAATGTGAGGAAATATGACAGCGGCTAGGAAGATCTACCGACTGATATATCAATGCAACTTTAATTAGAGTTTTCTCTTGCTCCGGGTTTACTTTCCACAAGAATACAGCGCACGCACTGGGATGAATTTTATTTGGGACATATTGGATTTCATATAAGTGATACTGACTACCACCATAATCATAGCCATTAAAAATTCCTCAAATATTATTGATGCATTCGCTGCTTCATTTTTCACTGACCATTCTGTACAATTTGCTGTAATCGGACATCTGTAATCAGACAGTTAAAGTAGCGAATCATACTAAGTCCACTCAGCTAATCCAATAATCACAGAAATGACCAAAATAGCCATAGCAACAACCACTTATCCAAGGTGATTAACGAGTCAGACAAAAAAAAAATCGGACTCCACTCGGTCCTATTACCACTATTAATTACAATGTATATGACTTTATATATCGACTGCCATGAATAGTTAAGTCAATGATATTAACTTTATCTTATTATATCAAGGCTCCAGTGCTTCCACATTATTCAAAATATAGAGAGAGCGGAGCGGAAACGCATGACGGAGGCTTGTCTGATTATTTTATAAACACCGCGCATAGATTCCTACAAGTCTACCACACCTCCTACAAATCGAAAATCACGCCTTAGCTGAGTAGATATTCTTCCCCTCAGTCGAACACTTTGTCATCTTATTATCTACTCACTCACCGTATTCCTGGAGTCTAGACGACAACCATCGATGGCCACACTCCCCATCGTCCATCGAACACTAGAATAAGTCAAAAAAATGTGAAAAAGGAAAGACATAATTTTCAACACCTATGTCAGGCCAGAAATTTCTCTAGGGGACCCTCTTGTCGCCTCGTGCTTTGCAGAGAAATTGGGTCGGCGTTTTAAGCCTCAACCTTTCTTTTGATCATCTCTAATCATGTTTGATCTCGCTATTGGTACTATTTCAGTGACGGTTTGGAACACAGGATGACGGAAACACTGGCCAAATGGCAGCAAAATTAAACAACCTGAGACCGAGGAAAGCCCACATCTTTGTTTTGGAAAATTTACAGCAGAATAATCGTGCCATTCGAAGAAAATAAAAAAAACACAGCAGTTGTATAAGCTTAGCACCGTAAAAATAATGATTTGCTTGTTGAAGGGAATGAAAAAGAAACGATCATATGGGAAAGTAAACAGCATAATCCATATAAGCAAGTAGTCTTTTCCTAATACCTCAGAGTCCAAACTTGCCATCGAATTGAATCAACCTCTCCACCTTTTGCAATGGCTTGGTTGTTGTTGTTTAATTCTTTTTCAATTACATTTTTTTTGTTTTGTTTTTGTTTATTTTTGGATTAGGGGATAATTATGCTTATCAGCATAACTATAATTATTATTATTATCATTGCTTTAATTATTATTATAATGATTATTATTATTACCATTATTATT